CCCTTTACACCGCCACCTCCTCCCCCTCACATGAGGTTTGGTTAATGATCTCCATTAAAAAGTAATGAGGAGGAAACAATCTCAGAGAGCTTGAGTAACGAGGTCACACTGCTAACAAGTGGAGGAACTGGATTCAAACCCTGGCCTGATTCCAAAGCCCCTGTTCTTTTCATTGTTCCAGGGAAGTTCATCATAATTTTAGTCTTTTGATTCTGCCTTTACAATTTTTGCCATATCTACAAACCACTTGTGAGAGTAATCAATATTTTTTCTTTAAATTAACTCATTTTAAAAAAATGTACATTTACTTTAAAAAGAAACTTTGGATGGAAACCCAGTATAATTTGCCATAATTAATTAAATTAATTATTATAACAATGAAGTTCATCCTGGTGCCGCCTACGATCACCTTTGGTGCTATGCACATACCTTCTGGGGAATCCACACGATGCACGCTCTGCAGGCTTCACACTGCTGCAGGAACCCTTTAAATCTCTTCTCTCCTGCTCTCTTGTTTACTGTCCCTTTTGTCACATGGTGCTCAGGGTCCTAGGGGCTGAGTGTTGGAAAGGACATTGGACATTGGAGAAGTCCAATATTGTCACTGAGTCTGAGAGAGCTTGTGATGTGCCCATAGGCTTGTGGTCATGTGGCCCAGGTCCCACTGGGGCTTTTCACCGCTCACATTTCATTGTCCAGAACTAGTCACATGGTGCCTCTTGCTGCAGGGGGCAGGAAGTGTAGATTCCCAAATAACTAGGAAGGAAAGGAGAACCAAATAATCGTGAGCATTTAGAATATCTCCTACATATCATTGCTTACATCATTCCTATGGGGGAGGAGGTTACTAAATATTATTTCTCTCCTATAAATGAGGAAACTGAAGCCCACAGAGGAAAATTGACTAAAGTCACACAGATGGAAAGAAAAGTGGCCATGATTTGAACCCTGGCAGTCTGGCTTTGGAGTTCATGGAAAAAACTCAATGAGAATGCTTAGCATAGTCAGCAATCTATCTGTATTAGTTTCCTATAGCTGCTGAAACAAATGTTTACATTTAGGGCCCATCTGGATAAGCCAGGATATCCTCCCCATATTAGGATCCTTAATTTAATCATACCTGCAAAGACCCATGTGTCATATAGAGTAATATTCACAGGTTCCCAGGATTCATGGATGGACATCTTTGGCAACATTACTCAGTCGACTGTACCATGAGAGCTCTAATTATCTGTGAGAGCTCTAATTATCTGGATGCTGGTTGTCTCTGTGGTCTGTCCCTTTCTCAGGGCCGGATCACTTTCTACCCTGTAGGCTAGCAATTTGTCATGTTTGCCTCCTGGAATTTGAGCACCCCGAGGGTAGGGAGTGTTGCTGATTCACCTTCCCTTCTACAGAGTTGGGCACATACAAATCACAGAACTGTGGAAATTATTGATTTGAGTGAATTTAAATTTCTCTTGAGGGCATCAGAAATAGCTGTGGTAAAGGAGGGGTCTGTGAATGGCGGTACCCCAATGAAACATCCTTTTGAGGATGAAGAGGGGGACCAGCTGACCTCTAGGGCCCATGTAGAACTGCTTTGCCCTGCCATTGCCTCAAACCTACGCGCTGGGTGGGGGGAGAAAATTGGCTGGATTCTCACCAGGGCCTTTGATTCACTGACTCATTCAGCAGAGGTTCATTGACCATCTCTCCACTTTAGTAACATCTTCAGCTGGAGAAACTATGGCCTTAGGAACCTCTTTTTGGTGCCGTGTGCAAAGATTTTGGGGTCACACCTATATGTGCAGTCCACAGGCACATTCCCAGTCAATAAGGTGGAACAGAAAAAGGCTCAGGATAACTGGGCTCAAGTCCTAACTTTGCTTCTGCCTTGAACAAGTCATGTCTACTCTCTGGAGTGTCCACACACATCACTGCTATTACATTTACCGTATTATTAAATTGTAATCATATATGGTTTCTGTATCCTCCTTCCATAGGATGAGTTCCATAAGGAGAGGACAGTGTGTATGTCATCTTTGTCTTCCCATTCACTATCTTAAGACCCAGTGTATCACAAATTCTTAGTAGTAGTAATAATAGTGTAGCAATGATGATAATGACCCTGGTAAAAACTCTCCATTTATGAAGAGCTTACTATGTGTCAAGCAGTGTTTTATGTACTTTCATGTTGTAACTCATTTCATCCTCATAACACCTCTATGAATTAAGTACTATTATTATCCACACTCTACAGATGAGGACTCTAAGGCGCAGAGAGATTAGGTAACTTGCCCAAAGTTGCACAATTAGTAAGTTGTTGAGTCAGGATTTCAATTCAGGTTCTCTGTCCAGAAGTCATGATTTAAACCATTCTGTACAATGTGGTTTGTTTGAAAGATGGAACGAAATGTGAAATGAGGACCTAAAAAGTCATTTTAGCTCCCATTTCCTGTGAGTTTCAAAAATGATTCCCTGCAAACTGTACAAAGGACTTCTGCTCTGGTCTGGCAGTGTGGACCAGGGAACACTGAGGTACACGGTGTGATGTCCTGAGAATGAGTGTTTGAATCCTGGCTCTGCCACTTATTGCTGTGCCTTTGAGGAAGTTATTTAACCTTTTTGAAGTTCAGTTTTCTCAAAGGGCAAAAGAACACTAATACCTACATTGTGGAGTTGTTGGTAGAATAAAAGAATAAAATAAAACAAAATAAAAATAAAAAATAAAAGAATAACTAAGAAAAGTGGTTAACATCAAGGAAGCTCTCTACAGAAAATAGGGACTTTGGAATGTAATTGCCACAGAGTTGAATATTCTTCCTTAGAACAGAGCTTGGTGGGGGATTTAAGTTGGTTCACTTTTCTCAAGGATTAGTATGAGAGATCCCCATAGGAAATCAAGTGAATCCAAGATTAATCTGCTTTCTGAATGTAAAGACTTTGGATGGAAAAGTAGGCTGCTCATGGTGTGTGTGTGTGTGTGTGTGTGTGTGTAGATTGTCTTGGGGTCAATTGCTGGGATGGGTAGGGACATATTTTAAAATGAGCAGGGACCACAGAGTGAGGAAACATGTTCAAATTCTGGTTTCTGCCATTACTTTCCTGTGCCATCTGGCAGACGGGGACAGTAATCAATCACCTTTGGGTTTCCAGTTTCCTGATTCCAAGATGAGGGGGTGGAATCTGAAGATCTCCAAGGCCTTGATGAGTGCTACCAGTCTGCAAATTCCCAAGCCAAGTTCTTCAATGAATCAAGTTTCCTCCAGTAGCCATTTCTACCGAAGGAGTAACTGTTTTTCCTTCCCACTGACATGGCTATGTATTCGAATTGGATATAGGTGAAAGGCATTTTTGTCCTGGCTTCTTGGGCCCCTCCAAGGAGCTCCAAGAGGCTTAAGGATCCCAGCCATGTTGGGAATAAAAATACCCGGTCAATCAATAAACATTTTATTTAAAAAGATTTATTTAAAAAATCACACAGTGTGAGAGCAAATACAGAAAATATGAATTAGCAAAACGAACAAAATTAAAATTTCATACAATCGCAGGACACTGGGACCTGAAGTCTTCAAGAGTATGCAATCACTAAGTCATCCCAAGGGAGAGCGGGATGCCTAAAAGAGAGGGATGCCTAAATTGGTTAGTCCCTAAGCACAACGACTCTTCAGGCATGTGTAAGGGAGTGGGAACCTACAAAAAGACTGGGAAGGGGAAACTGGGAGTGCCTGTTGTCACAGAAGCAGAGGGCAAGGAGGACAGTGGTTGGGAGAATCTGATGCGAGTATATCCCTCACTTTCCAAGGGCCACCTCATTATTTTAATCCTCCCAACAGATTGGTGAAGTGGGAACCATCATACTCTAACTTTTCCTTTTTTTTTTTTTTGAGACGGAGTCTCCCTCTATTGCCCAGGTTGGAGTGCAGTGGTGCAATCTTGGCTCACTTCAACCTCCGCCTCCTGAGTTCAAGTGATTCTCCTGCCTCAGCCTCCTGAGTAGCTGGGATTACAGGCGTGTGCCACCATGCCTGGCTAATTTTTTTTTTTTTGTATTTTTTGTAGAGATGGGGTTTCACCATATTGGTCAGGCTGGTCTCAAACTCTTGACCTCGTGATTCGCCTGCCTCGGCCTCCCAAAGTGTTGGGATTACAGGCGTGAGCCACCACGCCTGGCCACTTCTCCTTTTTTAATTTAAATTTTTTCATTTTGGATGATGGGTATTTATTTTTATATTATTCTTTGAGTCTTTTTGTCCTCCATACTTTTTATTTTTTTCAAGGTTAAAAAGGGGAAGGAGGAAAGTAGGGACTCTCAGGCCAGATCCAAAGAGTGGCTCCCCTATGGAACCATCTTTGGGCACCCCAGACTTGAGCCTGAGCAGGTGACTAGCTCTGCTTCCTTCCCAAGGTTGGACTACAATCTCATAGTGTTGGTGCAGAATGAGGCCCCACTGCAGGTGGCTGTCCCCAGGACCAAGCTCATCTGCTCTCCCCTAGCCTCAGTTTCTTACTTGTTGGTTGGGACAGCAACACCACCTTAAAGCCCTGGGGAGCACTGGCCTCAAAGGCTCACAGAAGGTGCTGGGTGACTGCAGCTACTGTCAGACCTCCATGGGTTATGTGTGCACCTGTGTGTAGGTAGTGTGATATATGTGAATATGTGTGTGCATATGTGTGTGTCTATGTGTGATCACACTTCTAGGGATCCTGGTGTAAGCTCAGGATACCCTGTCACACTCCATCCCTCTCTAACAGCAGCTCCAAGGACCATGGCCCCAGGAACTAGGCGCAAGTGACAGGAGCCACCTGCCATGTCCAAACCCAGTGCACACTCAGCCCAGCCTCACCCTTTTTCAAGGATAGCTGGCACAAACCATCATCCTGGCCCACGATGATGGTGAGCATCAAACTCCAATTTCTGAAGAGGAAACTGAAGACCAGAGAGGGGAGGTAAATGTCCCAAAGTCACCAGCAAGTCAGTGGCAGACACAACTTGAACCCTGGTTTTGACTGGCAGTCTATGGGCATCGAGGCCACCATTTGCCATGTACCTAATGTGTGCCTGGCAATGTTCCAGGCCTCTCCTGCATAATTTCTAATCCTCTTAACCAGAGGCTCAGAGAGGTGGCGTTTTTACCCCTAGTACACAGAGGAGGCGCTTGGGGTTCAGAGGCACGGGTGGGAGTCCACCGACGTCACGCACCCCAGCAGGTGGCCAAGCGGGATGGGAGCGCGGGTCTCCCCATCCCCAGTGGTGACGGGCTGCGGCTCTTTCCTGAGGAACAGGGCGGCGTTCGCAACGGGAACCGCTGGAGGCGCCCCCCCGGGACCCTGGCCCGCCCTCGCCCCCGCGCATGCCTGGCCGCTGAGGCGTGAGAGCCGCCGCCCGTGGCCTCCCCCCGTGCGCCTTGCACAACCGGCCCAGATAAGTGCTGCGTCTTTGGGCAATTATCGCCCTCCCGCCGCCGGGGCTGGCCGCGCACAGGGCCCACGGCCAAGGGACTCGCAGCCACCCAAGGAGAGCGGTAAGGTCTACTGCGGCCGCCAGCGCGCGCGATTTCACAAGGCCCGGGCGCTGGGACGGGACGGGACGGGACGGGGCGGGGCGGCGGGGCGGCGGGGCGGCGACGTCACGAGCAGCCCCGGAGCGCTGGGCCGGGCCTAGGGAGGAAGCGGTGCGCGGCCGCCTGTAGACCTGCGCCGCTTCCTCCTTCTTCCTCCTGCCTGTCAGCTATTTTTCTTCTTTCTTACCATCTCCCAGCTCTTCCTTTTTATCTCTCGCATTCCTCCCTCTTTCCGTCCGTTTCCTCCTCCCTTCTCCATCTCCTTCCTTTTAATTTTCCTTTTCTCCTCCCTCCTGCCTTCCGTTTCCTTTCTCTTCCTCCCTCCCTCCTTCCTTCTCTTCTGCCTCCTTCCTTTCTTTCTCCTCCCTCTCTTCTTTCTCTTCCCTCTCCTTTCTTCCTTTCCTCCCCTTTTTCTTTTCTTTTCTTTCTTTCTTTTTTTTTTTTTCTTTTGACGAAGTCTCCTCTGACGCCCAGGCTGGAGGACAATAGCGCGATCTCGGTTCACTGCAACCTCCGCCTCTCGGGTTGAAGCGATTCTCCTGCCTCAGCCTCCCGAGTAGCTGGGATTACAGGCTCCCGCCACCACGCCCGGCTAATTTTTTTGTGTTTTTAGTAGAGAAGGGGTTTCACCATGTTGGCCGGGTTGGTCTTGAACTCCTGACCTCGTGATCCACCTGCCTTGGCCGGCCTCCCAAAGTGCTGGGATTACAGGTGTGAGCCACCACGCCCGGCCTCATTTCTTTTAAAAGGGTGTTTTAATATTTTTAATTGTGGTGGAAAACATGTCACATAAAATTTACCATCTTAACCATTTTAAGTGTGCAGTTTAGTGTTAACTGTATTCACATTGTTGTGCAACAGAGCTCTAGAACTTTTTCATCTTGCAAAACAGACTTAATATCAATTAAACAACTACCCATCCCACCGCCCCTCCTAACCACCATTCTACTTTGTTTTTCTTCCGTTCTTTTTCCCTTTTGGGGCCTTTGTTTCTTTTCCTTTATCTCTCCCTTTTCTTCCTTTCCCTCTGTCTTTCTCTCTTTCACTTCTATAAAACCTAATGGCCCCGCTGCACCCTGGGCAGCCCTCTCCAGCCTCTGCCTGGACTGGGCCAATGGGCCTGTCAGCAAGGCTGTTAGAGTCTGGTGAGTCATCATTCTTCCCTGGTGTGTCAGGGCCAGTAGGCGGCCCCTGGAAGCCTCACCTGGCTTTTCACTGGTAGGCAAACACGTCCAGCAAGAAACTTCTGCCAGGAAGAGTTAATTAGAGAGAGGCCCCTGAATCCCCCAGAGTAAGAGGGTCGGCCTGGGAACCCCTCTCTTCCCTGGGCCTTCTCCAGCCCCGGGGCTCCCCTTCTAGACAGTAGAAGACAGCCATGATGCTGCTGATGGGGATGATAACTTGGCCTGACACAAAACACATTTCTATAGACATTATCTCATTCTTGTTCTCACAATAATCCTGGGAGGTAGGCGTTATCATTCCCATTTTACAGCTGAGGAAACCGAGCCTCAGAATTCCAGGTGAAGGGATTTGCCATGGCCACAAAGCTGCTCAGCTGCAGAGTTGGCAAGGTGGGGGACCCAGGTTTGTATCACAAAAGCAGGAAAAAAGTGGCTAGGTTGGAGTGCAAAACACTAGAAAAACGATTAGCTCCTTCGTCTATGTTCCCATAGTGCTTTGTTTAGACTCCTGGGTGTAGACCATACCTGATGGGTTTCTCCATCAGCTGGGCATAGACGAGGGATATTGAATGAACAAGTGGTAGAGGTATCTGACTGTATGCATAGCAAGTGCAAAGAAAGTTGGTTTCTAGGCAGCTAAGAGACTTTGTTTTGTTTTGTTTTTTGAGACAGAGTTTCGCTCTTATTGCCCACGCTGGCGTGCAATGGCACGATTTCAGCTCACGGCAACCTCCACCAACTAAGAGATTTTTTAATCAAATAGAGGTGCCACCCTGATGTCCTTGGGTTTTTTGGAATTTTGTCTGTCCATACTGGGAATGTATTGAGAGGATAAGGTATGGCAGGAGTTGCAGTTCTCCCACCTTTTCTGAGTAGGACCTCTGGTTCATGGGACAGTTCACAGTCTTTGAGCATGTTCTGTTGTGATCTCTTTGCAATATGTTGGTGTGGAAATAATTTTTAGTATCACAGGTAATCGTGGAAGATAATTAATGTTCACCAATTATCCAATTCTCCTTTACTTTTAGGTATGTGGATGCATATACTCTTCTGTCCCCTTGAAATAAAGCATAGTCATGTGACTTTTTTTATTTTTTTATTTTTCAAGATGGAGTTTTGCTCTTGCCCAGGCTGGAGTGCAGTGGTGTGATCTTAGCTCATTGCAACCTCTGCCTCCAGGTTCAAGTGATTCTCCTGCCTCAGCCTCCCGAGTAGCCGGGATTACAGGCATGCACCACCACGCCCAACTAATTTTTGTAGTTTTAGTAGAGATGAGGTTTCACCATGTTGGCCAGGCTGGTCTCGTACTCCTGACCTCAAGTGGTCCCCCTTCCTTGGCCTCCCAAAGTGCTGGGATTACAGGCATGAGTCACTGTGCCCAGCCTCTATTATTTCTTTAAATATTTCTTTTGTCTTTTCCTCTTCTTCTCTCCTTCAGGTACTCCCATTTGTTTTAAAGTTATTTTGAAAACTGTATTTGAATATAATTGGTTTCCTTTGTATTCCTTTGTATTTTTAATACATTATTCTAAGAAGATGTCCATAGCTGTCACTAGGCTGCTAGAAGAGTCTTTGGCACAAAAAATGTGAATAGAATATCCTTATTCTAGATAGTATTATGGATGAATGTCTTCCAAACTGGTTTTTCAAAAAAAGCTATTTCTTAGGATATTGATAGTTACTGGAATAGAGGTATTCTTTGCTCAGCTAAGCTTGGGAACACTGAGTGAAACAGCATCTGACATCTTTTTCTGCCCAATTTCTCCAAGTCTTTTATTCACTAAAATGCTTTGTATATATCTAAGAGGAGATATAATGTGCAACATTTTCTAATTCAGTGTAGCACACAGTACACACTTTTTTCCATTTGTTGTTTAAAAACCCCTCTAATAATACCTAGTTCAATGAATTATACAAACAAAATGCTCCAAAACACAAATCCCCTAAAAAAGGGCCATAAATGCTTTTATATTATTATAATAAGTGTTTCTCAAACTAAGAATAACAGACTAATGAACCCATTTAAAAGAAGAAAAATCTCACAGACTCCTCGGTACTTAATGTGTTACTTAAATAAGTTTTAGTTTAACATTATTTAAGTATGTAGACATGTAAAACTAGATATAGCCTTATAAACAATCAAACCAAAACAAATTTATAAATTAAATACAATGCTACAAACAAAATCAAAATAGAAACCCATACATTTAGTATGATGGATTTTTTTTTTTTTTTTTTTAGTTGCTGACACTAAATGGCTACTTGCAGTGTTACTATGGGGCTAACCTGTTAAGGGACAGGTTCTTTGGAATTTGTCATGACTGTAATGCTGTGTGTGGATGACTCAGTTTGAACTTTCTCTATTTGAACTTCTGAGAAAGCTTGCTTCTTACAGGGCTGTGATACTCTTTCATCTTTAGTTAACATGGCCATATTACACCTTGAGATTGGGTCTGCCTCCCTTTTCTCATTCATGTTACTGCTTGGTCCCAGTTTCATCATAAACAGTGCAAACATGAACACTGTGATGGTGAATTTGGTGTGTCAACTTGACTGGGTTCCGGGGTGCCCAGATGTTTAGTCAAATATTATTCTGCATGTTTCTGCAAGGGTGGTTTTGGATGAGATTAACATTTAAATCAATGGACTGAGCAAAGCAGATTGCCCTCCCTGATGTTGGTGGGTCTCACCCAATCAGTTGACACTTCACTAGAAAAAAAAGCTGACCCTTCCTTGAGTAATAGAGGATTCTTCCTGCCTGACTGCCTCCAAACTGGGAAATTGGCTCTTTTTCTGGTTCACAGGCCTGTAGCCTTCAGACTGGAACTATGCCATAGGCTCTCCTGGATCTCCAGCTGGTGGATTTATCCTGCAGATCCTGGTTCTTGCCAGCCTCCAAATTGTGTAAGCCAATTCCTTATAATAAATCTCTTTATTGTGTAATAAATATATAATAAATGCATACACACAGGTACTAGCATCATCAGGTGGCAATAGCTATAAAGTATAATTTTTTGGTAGATATATGTCTCATGCAATATCTGAGATATATTTATACTAAAAAAGCATTCACTGTTTATGTGAAATCTAAATTTAACTGGAAGTCCTGTATTTTATCTGGTAGCCTCACATTTAGAGGACATAGAATATGATTTTATATTTGTTAAGATTATTATCCATATAAAAAAATTAAAATTCTCCCTGATAACTTGAGGATGGGCCTGAAGACTCCAACAGAGAAATTGCAATGGTGTTTACACGAATGTCACTTGTGTGGAATGATTTGGGAACCTGCCTGCCACACCACCACACCACCCAGCAGCAAAGGGGTAGGTTCTGAGCTCCTTGTGCTCCAGAGCACCATAACACTGCACCACCTGAAGAGTTGGAAAAGTCAGCCCTAGGGATCCATTTTCAGGGTAGATGGACCCTCCCCAGAAGCCTTCACAGTGAACTCCGCTTAAGAGAACAATCCCTTGAGGGACTCATTCTGGCTTCTGCATTACTCACAGGCACAGTAGAGAATTGTTGCTAATGAGCATTGTGCCCTTTGTCTCAAGTCTATCTTTCCCTAAGAGACCCTCAAGACTACTTTCAGGATCATTTCATTCCTGTCCACCTTAGTCATCTCCAGAAACCCAAGCTCCTCAGGTCAAGGGGACCCTAATGCCCATGCCACTCTGAACAGTCTCTGTTTTGACTCAATTTTCCATTCCTTCCTGCGCTCCCAAACCTTTTCTCTGTGGGTTTGTGAACTCATGGCTGTCAATTACACTCTTTCCAATATCCTCAACTACTTCTCTGAGTGCTCACTTACTTTTTTGCATTAAATGAAAGCTGAATATCTGCTCAGGACATTATTTCTTTTACAACCTACTGAGGTTGAAGGTGTCTTTCCTCTTAAAAACTGGGTACCTGAGGGCCTAAGGTGGGGAAGTTGAGTAAGTGGTCCTCCTTGCCTTCTGCGGTCACTTCCAAACCAACTGTCCACTCCTTTGATGCCCATATGAATGCTCTATTTACCCTAATTCATGGGTGTCTTTAGCACTGGCACACTCTCTTCCTGTCTATCCTTTTTCCTGACACCGTTCCTGGTAATTTCAACATTTATACGGGCGAGACATCCAATACATTGGCTTCTAGGTTCCGTGTCTCTCTTTGATCTTCTGATATGGTTTAGCTGTGTCCCCAGCCAAATCTCATCTTGAATTGTAGTTCCCATAATCCCCACCTGTCATGGGATGGACCCAGTGGAAGGTAATTTAATCACGGGGACAGTTATCCTCATACTGTTCTGGTGATAATGAGTGAGTTCTCACAAGATCTGATGGTTTTATAAGGGGCTTTTCCCCCTTTTGCTCAGCACTTTTGCTTCCTGCTACCATGTGAAGAAGGACATGCTGGCTTCCCATTCAACCATGATTGTAAGTTTCCTGAGGCCTCCCCAGCCATCCTGAACTGCGAGTTAATTAAACCTCTTTCTTTTATAAATTACCCAGGCTCGGGTTATGTCTTTATTAGCAGTGTGAGAACAGACTAATGTATCTTCTTTTTAATTTACTCATTTGATCTATCCCATTCCAGCCACTCATTACCTTTGTCATGTCCATGACCATACCATCATTAAAAACCTACGTTCTCTGACTGCTACCTCCTTTCATCCCAGCTCCCTTGGGGTAATATTTCCAATCCACCTCATCAAGACTTCCAATACACTGGCCCTTCCACTTTTCCCACTATCTGTCATTTCCCTCAGGTTCTCACTTCCTTCATTAACCAGCTTAATTTCTGTGGTTCATCATCATAACTACTCTATTTCAAGTACTTCTAATTCCTGTATTCCACTCTTCTTCCTTCATATTTGTTCTCTGCTTAAGCCTACACATCTGACTACTATACACCTGAATTCAAGCAGGTAAATGTCATGAGAGAAAAACACATAACTAGACCAACTGGTCTTGTTTTAAATTCATGACCACAAATCTCAAATGAGCACTCAGCCCTGCTCAGCAATCTTACCCTTCACTATATGTTCCACTCCCCAGTCTTCAAAACAACTATTTCACATCTTTTACCTCCTGCCTCCCTCGCCTCCCTCACTTACAGGGGCTTCTCATCTCTCCCAAGGGCCATCCACCTCGTCCTTTTATCTTCCCTCATTCTTACCTGATGACCTCACCTCATATTTCACTGAAAAAAAAAAAAAAAATAGAAGCAGTTATATAGGTCCTCCTTGATATGGTTTGGCTGTGTCCTTGATAAAGGAGGACCTTTATCTTTCCAGCACACCTCCCAATTTGTCTGAATTTATGTTCATATTTCCTTCCTGTCTTCATATTGCTATGTATAAAGTGTCTTTGCTTTTACCAAGAGAAACCCCCTTCACTTGTGAGCTTGATCCTCTGGCCTCTTGGTTTTTTAAAGGACTTTGCTTCTGCAATTCTCTTATCTCTGCTGCATCTCTAGTTTCTTTCTTTCCACTCAGATAATTACCCCCAATGCAGACCTGTTCCAGTATCTCCAGGGTTTGCAGATCCTTTTCCCTACCCTACCTTTTCCTGCAGCTGATCTAGTTCTCTGCTGTCTTTCACAGCAGCCCTTTTCAGGGAATTGTCTCCTGTGTCTACTTCCTCACCTTCGATTCTCTGCTCACCCCTCTGCCATGGGTCCTCTCTTTCTTCTAGCCCACTGAGACTGTTTTTCACGAGGCTGCTGGTGACCTCCAGTGGTCACTTCTCTGTCCTTATTTGATCTCTCAGCAGCATATGATATGGTTGATACAATTGGCCACACCCTTCTTGAACTGCTTTCTTCTCTTGGCTTCTAGAATATCATATCTTTTTAGTTGTCCCTTTGTAGTCTGCTTAGCAGCCCTGCACATTTGCTGCTTGATTTCTAAATGTCATAGTGCTCTAAGTCTTGGCCATATATCTCCTTCTTTAGATCCATCTTCTCCCTGGTGAGCTCCTCTGGCCCAAAGCTTTGAATATGCTGCACTGCCTCCCAGAACTACCTCCAGCTCTGTCTAGCTCACACTCATATATATCCAACCTTATATTTCATACCTCCATTTGGATGTTTAATAGGTGTCTCAGACTTGCTTTGTCCCAAATCAAACTCCTGCTTCCCATTTTGGCTCCAAACATGTTCCTCTCCATCCCAGTAAATAACACACATTCACACAGATTATCAGGCTTAAACCTTGGACACATCTTTGATTTATTTCCTCATGCCTCATACTTAAGTCCTGTTGAATGTCCCCCCCTAGAACTAACCAAGAATCTGAAACTTCTCTTCATCATCACAATTACATCTTAGTCCCATCCAACATCAACTCTCACCTAGATTACTGCAGTCTGGTCTCCCTGCCTATCTCCTGGTCTCCCTTAATTGATCTCCCTGCCTATGTTCTGTTTGTCTTGTTCCTTTACTTTCTATTGTCCACTCAGCAGCCAGGGTGGAAATCAAATTTAAAGGTGTATTTAAAAGTATAAATCAAATCATGCGTACTGTGATGGTTAATTTTGTGTGCCAGCTTCACTGGGCTAAGGCATACCCAGATAGTTGGCAAAACATTATTTCTGAGTATGTCTGTGCAGGTGTTTCTGGAAGAGATTAGCATTTCAATCAGCAGGCAGTAAAGAAGCTCCACCCTCCCCAACATGGGTGAGCATCATCCAGTCCATTGAGGGCTGGAAAAGAACCAAAAAGGTCGAGGAAGGGTACATTCTCTCTTCTCTGGAGCTGGAACATCCATCTTCTTTTGTCCTCGGACATCAGCGTTCTTGATTCTCAGGCCTCTGGGCTTGGATGAGAACTACACCACTGGCTTTCTTGGGCCTTCAGCTTGCAGATAGAAGATAATCACATAAGCCAATTCCTCATGATGAATCTTTTTCTCTACGTTTATATATATCTTATGGGTTCTGTCTCTCCAGAGAACCCCGGCTAATGCACCAACTCTTCTGTTTATAACCCTTAAATGATTTTGCAGTGCTCCAAGAAGAAAGTCTAATCTCCCTCACTTGACCTACAGTGCTCCATGTGATCTAGCTCCTGTTTACTTCTCCGACTTCCCTTTAAACCAGACTCTTCCTTGTCTACCAACCTCAGTTAGACTGACCTTCTTTCCACCCCTGGAACATACTTTTTTCCTGCCTTAAGGCTTTAGCACTAGCTGTTTTCTCTGCCTCAAACACTTTTCCTCTAGCTTGTCCCACATGTATCCCCTGAAAGTCATGATTCCTCAAACCATGGGGAAGCCTTGGAGATGGCATTTTCAGAACCAAGCAAGGAAGTAGATAGTGAGAAGGTAACCTGGTATCCTCATATACACAGACTGTCTGGGAAAGTCCCCTCCCTTGCTGGAGCAGCTTTTGGGGGGAAGATGATGAATATGGGTTTGGAGATGTTGAGACTGAGGTGCCTGTTGGGTGTTTATAGGTCTGAAGCCCAGGAAAAGGTTTGGGCTGGGGCTAGAGATTTGGGGAGCATCAGCATCCACTCGGTAGTGGCAGCTGTGGTAGAGAATGAGAGCATTCAGTGATGTAAATGGTGTGGCCATGATGGAGTCATGACCCTGGTTGACAGCTTGGAGCTCTGAACTTCCATGAGACTCTGACATGTATTGGTATGGCCAAAATGACATCACTGATCAATGTTTCCATGGTAACCAACAATTAATGGGTGAATGAATGACTGAATAAATCAATAGTATTCAGCAACAATTCAAGGTCTTCAATTTTAGCCAGGCTCTTAGTGCCACTAGGCTGTCTTTTTACTCATTGTTCCACTTCTTTCAACTATTCATACCCCATTTTTAGTTTTCCAGATCCATGTCTGTATGTTGCACTTCATAAAGCAATCAAGATCATCAGGTGTTACCTATCTTTCCATTTTTCTATCCTCAAATCCAGTGGTCCTGATTCTGGGGAACCAGCTCATTCCCATTTTCCCAGGACCTTCCTGGGTTTGGCACTGAAAGTTCCACATCCTGGAAAAATCCCCCCGTCTTGAGAAAACCAGGATGGTTGTTCACTCTACCTGAGACATAGATTGCATGGCTTCTCGGGGGACATTTCCATGAGATTGAGTAATGAGGTGAATTTTGCAGTGGCCGCCTCCATCATATATCCTTGTATCCTCACTCTTGCCTGCTTTGCTATCCTTGTTCCTCACTCCTGCTACCTAGTAAAATATGGATGCTCCTTGGCTCATGATGGGGTTATATCCCAATAAACCAATCGAAAACTGAAAATATCGTAAGTTGAAAATGCATTTAATACACCTAACCTACTGAACAACATAGCTTACTCTAGCCTACCTCAAATGTGCTCAGACCACTTCCATTAGCCTACAGTCAGGCAAAATCATCTAACACAATGCCTATTTTATAATAAAGTGTTAAATATCTCGTGTGACTTACTGAGCACTGTACTGCAAATGAAAATCAGAATGGTTGTATGGGCTCTTGAACTATGGTTTCTTTTTTTTTTGAGACGGAGTCTCGCTCTGTCGCCTAGGCTGGAGTGCAGTGGCCGGATCTCAGCTCACTGCAAGCTCTGCCTCCCGGGTTTACACAGTTCTCCTGCCTCAGCACGAGTAGTTGGGACTACAGGTGCCCGCCACCTTGCCCAGCTAGTTTTTTTGTATTTTTTAGTAGAGACGGGGTTTCACCGTGTTAGCCAGGATGGTCTCGATCTCCTGACCTCGTGATTCTGCCCGTCTCGGCCTCCCAAAGTGCTGGGATTACAGGCTTGAGCCACCGCGCCCGGCCTGAGCTATGGTTTCTACTGAATGTGTATCACTCTTGCACTATCATAAAGTTGAAAAGTCATAATTCAAACCCTGGTAAGTTGAGGATCATCTATGGCAGCTCAAAAGCCCTCTGCCTCAAGCTGTGCTTTCTGGGGAAGGTAGGTTAAGTCCAAGCAGTAGGCTGACTCCTACTCTGAGGATACCACTGGGTGTCATGGCGGTGGGAATAGGATTGTGAATTATTGCAAGGAGGGGTCTGAAATTCGCATAAGTTTTACTTCAGTCGATCCAGGGTCTCATCTTCCAATCATGTGAGCTGTGTCCCTATTGACCCTTTTCTCTCACCGCATCCTACCCGCATTTTACCACCCAGTAACCCTGTGCCATGTGTAGTTTTTGTACATGTCATGCTGCTTTGGACTCTGGACTTTCTAGCTCATTCCTGGAATGCCCTCCCCACTTCTTGTGAAGGATTTCTATTTATCCATCCCTCATGAATCAGTTCAAACACCACCTCCCCCCAGGGCCTGCCAACCCTCCTGGCCAAGGCTGGGGGGAGCTCCTTCCTCTCTACCTAGTGCTGATCTCTGCCACTTCATGTCCATATTGTTTATAAAGTGTCTGTTTACGCACCAGAACGTAAGCTCCTTGCAGGCAGGGATTTTTTCCTGTTCAACTCAATATCCCAGCACTTGTCACACTCCCTACTTAATATGTATTAGTTGAATACTGAACGAATTCTTCCAGCAGTCCTGTAAGGTCAGTTGTGGTGGCATCATTTCCAGTTAAAATATGATAAAATTGAGACTTAGAGAAGGGCAGAAGTGATGTGGGATGTTAGAGGTAAACCAAGTCAGGGGCTTGCCCACCTTACCAGTGATTTCTTTAGACAAAATATGCATAGCTTTTCCAAACATTGTATGCAGGGGGCAGTCAGGCACTCAGAATCACTCACAGAGTGAGACTGTCAGAGGACCTCCCAGCACAGTCCTTCCCAGGCTGTCCTCCTGCTTGGAAGCAACCTCGCAGTTCCACTGTTTCCCTGACATCTCCTGCTGCAAACTCTGCAAGGGGCTGCAGCCTTCTATCTGCTCCAGTGCTCAGCTCTCCCTTCATTTTGACCTTGAAAATGCCCTCACTGTGGAGTGACAGACATTGGAGAGTTGGAAGGGTGGGATGCGGGTAAAGGAAGAGAAATTCTTTAATGGGTACAGTGGACAATATTTGAGTGATGGCTACACTAAAAGCCCAGACTTCACTATGCAATATATCCATGTAACAAAACAACACTTGTACCCCCAAGTCTATTTTTTTTTTAAAGAAGGAAAATGCTCTCACTTTCCTGTAGGCTTAGCTGTACCTTTAAAATAATTGAAAAATTTCTTACCAGCATTTCTGAGTGTTTTGTAGCAGGGAACCTTCAGGTTGTTTCGTCTGACACTCTATGAGTAAACCTCTTTCTTGTGTTTAGCCTTCATCTCACCTCTCTCATTCCACCGTGGTGTGGTTTCTCCAGAGGGGAAGGGCAACTGTGTTGAGAAACCTAAAGGGTAACCTCTCTTGACCCTGTCGTTGCCACTGAAGCCACTGTAGAAAGAAATGATCCTGGGACTGAAAGATTTATAGCTGGGGCTTTCCAAATCTGGGAGTGTGCTGTGCAACATCCCATGAAAAGGTGTGGGGCAGGCATGAGTAGGGGAGCTTCACATATGCTTGGGACCTCTTTCCAATCCCAGCTCTGGTCCTTCAGTCTCTGCTGCCTCCATAATCAAGTCCACTCTCCTTGGCCTGACCTTAAGGCCTTTTGCCATCTTCCCCGTTTACCTCTCCAGCCCCACCTCCCAATTCAACCAACCAACCATTCTACCTGGTGTGATTCCAGTGCAGCCCATCTTTCCTGCCTCCAGACTGTACCTCATACTGTTTCTTCATCCTGGGTACCCTCCTCCCAGTGTTTTGCTTCATTAGATCTTTCTTATTCTCCAAGGGCCAGGTCCAGTGTCACCCTTCAGGAAGATGGGGCACTCTTCCTGACCCCAGTGCCCCATAGCCCATCTCTGGCCCTTCCTGTGGTCCTGATGACCATACTTTGCTGTTGCTGGGGTCTGTGACTGTGCAGTCCTGGGAGGAAGCCACCTTCAACTCACTCTGCTTCTGCCAGTGCTCCGTGCAACACCTTGTTCATGGTAGGGGCTCACATTTGTGTGGAATGATGAGAATGGGTGGTGGGAGCCTGGCCAACACAGGGAGGTGTGTGCAGCCTACCAAAGCAGCATGCTCCTTCCTGGTCACGAGGTGGTGACCATCTCATGGCAGCCTTCAAGTTGAAGGCAAGTGACTACTGAGGCTGCTCTCCGTTTTCTCATCCAGAGCTGGGGCTAGGAGCTCAGAAGCAATGGAGGGAGCACAGCTTTGCTCTGAATGGAGGACAGTTTATGGCTTTCACATTCCAGGCCCTAGGAGGAAACAAAATGCCACTTCCTGAAAGATCCTTCAGCTACTATTACTCCATTGCCCAGATCATGCAGGCTCCCCACCCGCCAAGAAGCATCTCCCCAGCATCACCTCTGAATGGGGGAACAAATGATTCGGTGGTCAGCTGATGATAGAGAGATTTCCAAGAGTAATTTTGAGTATGCTCAGTTTTTGCCTAATATGCTGACTTCAGCCCCTAACCCCAATACCAGGTATGTCTTCACCTTAGCACCAATACCTGACATACAATTTGTTGTATAAATGAATGAATCCTTAAACATTAGAGTAAGGAGGAGCCTTAATGGCTATTAGCTGCAATACACATTTTATGAAGAAATAAATACAATTGTAATAACTATTTATTGAGAGTGGACTCTATGCTAGGTACCACACTGAGCACTTTACATGCATTATCTAATTTTATCCTTTCATCAACAACGTGAGGTGGAAGTTATCATCCCTACTTTATAAATATGGAATAAGGCACAGAGAAGTTGCATGGCCTAACAAGGTTGCAGAGCTGGTGAGTTGTGGAACCAGATGTCTCTAGAGCCCTCTGGCTAACCCTATGCTATACCGCTGCTCACTGCGTCTGGAGGAAACAGAGACTCACAGAAAGACAGTAACTTGCCTGGGTCCCCCAGCCTCTCAGAAGCAGGACGGCCACTTTATCCAGAGGCGCCTTCATTCCTGGGCCTGCCAAGACACCTGGCCACAAAGACACCATGAAGAGGAAAAAGAATTTCAAGTGCATTCTAAGAGCCACATCCATTCTCTTGTTGTATAGGCAGAAAACCTGCACTCAAAGACCCAGCCAAGAAGAAAGATTTGATCGACTGGGCAGGATCCACTTCCCATGGCGACACCTCCTTGAGTCGCAGCTCTGGTATGAAGTAAGACTTGTTTAAGGCAGTTAAAAGCAGCAGTCTCCATTGTGTCGAGTGGTGACAGTATAATCCTCCTTAATAATTTTGTTCCCTCTCCAAACTCTCCTCCATTATGCATCCTTAAGATGTGACCTCAGATGCCTCTTTAGGTTTCTAGTCCTATGAATGCAGGAGGATTTGGTGAGAGGGGAAGCAGTAAAGAATGTCTTTACTGTGCTCAATCACTCAGACATACTTCACTGGAAATACCTCCTGCCCCCTCTGCCCCCCATATTTTCATTGTTTGATCAGAGCTATTTGTTTTATTTTGAATGCAAATATAAATTATGTATCAAAAGTAGAGATATTAAAACCTCCACATCGACATCACCTTGCTTCAATAATATCAACATATGGCCAATCTTGCCTCCTTACACCCCGTCTACTCCTACCCCCTTACCACTGCATTCATTTGAAGCAAATCCCAGATATATCTGGGATGCACATATCTTTTTATCTCTAAATACATCTTTTATCTTTAAAAAAATATACACAATATTATATCACACCTAAAATTAAAAATAATTGTTAATATCACTAAATACCTAGTCTATGTTTAAATACACACACACACACACACACACACACACAAATGTATATATCAGAATCCACAAAGTCTACACATTGAATTTGGTTGATATATCTCTTGTTTCTTTTTTTCTTTCTTCATTTTTTTTTTTTTTTTGAGACATGGTCTCATTCTTTCACTCAGGCTGGAGTGCAGTGGTGCGATCTTGGCTTACTGCAAATTCCACTTCCTGGGTTCAAGTGATTCTCCTGCCTCAGTCTCCCAAGTAGCTGGGATTACAGGCGTGTTAGGCATGTGCCATCACAACCATCTAATTTTTGTATTTTTAGTAGACATGGGTTTTACCATGTTGACTAGGCTGGTCTCGAACTCCAGACCTCAAGTGATCCAAGAGCCTCGGCTTCCCAAAGTGTTGGGCTTACAGGCGCGAGCCACCATGTCCATCTCTTTATTTTTTTAGACATGGTCTCTCTCTTTCACTCAGGCTGTAGTGCAGTGGTGCAATCTCGGCTCACTGCAACCTCTACCTCCTGAGTTCAAGGGATTTTCCCAGCTCAGCCTCCTGAGTAGCTGGGATTACAGGCGCCCACCACCACACCTGGCTAATTTTAATAGAGATGGGGTTTCACCATGTCAGCCAGGCTGGTCTTGAACTTCTGGCCTCAAGTGATCCAGCCACCTCGGCCTCCCAAAGTGCTGGGAATACAGGCATGAGCCACCATGCCCAGCCCTTCGCCTCTTTTAATTAATATGCTCCCCTTCTTCCTTTATTAAAAAACAATTATGTATTGAAGAAACTTGGTTGTCCTGTAGAATTTTCCGTGTTCTGGATTTTGCTGACTGCATCCCCAGGGGATCATTTAACATGTTCCTCTGGCTCCTGGTAGTGAAGTCTAGAAGTTCTATCAGATTCAGGGGAACAGAATTTGAGGGCAAGAAAGTTTTAGAGGCGGTACTGTGCACTCTTTGTTGCCTCACATCGGAAGGCACATGCTCGCTGGTTTTCTCCAGTCTTGGCTTATTAAGATATTGATCAGGGGATTCAGGTGTTTGCAGCCTGATCTATCCATTCTAATGTTCCTTGCTGGCCTTTTGCCTAATGATTTTAGCAGTCATTGATGATTATTGTCTAACACTATGATTTCATCAGAGGTTTCACATGATATTCTAATTCTGATATTCCTTCTTCCTTTATTAGCTATAATTCTACTATACAGAAGAGCTTGGTCTCATCAACTATCTGGTTACTCTGAAATAGTTCATAAAGGAAAGGCAGGACAAATGCTTGATTCTTTACCTTTAATTTATCTGCTTTTGGAATAATGAGTTTATTCTCAAGCATCTCCCAAAGGTGATACGCTGGTTATGTATTGCTGCATATTAATTGCCCCCTCACTTAGTGGTTTAAAATAGCAACCATTTTATTTTGCTTTATCATTTTGTGGGTCAGAAATTTGGGCCAGGATCAGCTGAGAGATTCTTCTGCTCCGTGTGTTATTGACTGAAATCACATAGAAGGATTCAGCCTGTGGATGGACTGATCTGGAGGATCCGAGACAACTTCCCTTGTATGTGTGATGTCTTAGTGGGAATGGCTGGAAGGCAGAGCTATGCAGGGACTGTCAACCGGCGTTCCTACACTTGGCTTCCCCAGCATGGCAGACTTCTTATGTAGTAGTTCACGGCTCATAGGGTCAAGAGACTCAGGTCAAAGCAGCAAGGCTTTTTCTGACCTAGCCTCAGAAGTCATACAGTATCACTTCTGCCATATTCTTTTTATTACAAGTGAGAGTTCCAGGACTGGTCCAGGTCCAAGGGAAGGGTAGTTAGTACACAAGCACGTGAACACTGGGAGGCATAGTTTATTGAGACCCTCTTACAGCTACCTGGAGCATAGAGTCAGAAGCCTTCCTAGCTTCTCTAATTGTACTCGACCCCTTCTCCCCCCTATGCATCTGACCATCCTCTTAATTTTGGCTGGGATTGTTGCAGAAGACACATCCATACTCCAGGTGTCCACAGTCTCCTTCGTGGTCAGCAGAATGTGTACAGCCTCATTGTGAGCAAGGCCAACAGTAAGTTACCAAAGCTCCTGCAATGCTGGAGTGCCCATTACCCACTCCTGCCAACCCACTGCCACATAGTATCTCATGGGCTCTTGGTTAAGCTGAACATCTTCACTGGGACCACCTTGGAGAACTTGGCCTTGACCTGCTTAAACACTTGAGCAAGGACCTATTCTGAGAGCTTGGCTCTTTCCTGAGACCAACAGGACTCACAGGGGTTTTGCACATGGGACTAAGAGTGCCACAGCCATGCTCCCATAATGATTGGTTTTAATGGCTGTAAAATACTTCATACTGTGGACCCAACACACTCTGGCAAACCATTTCTATACTATTGTAGTTGTTTGTTCTTTTTGATCCTTTGCAAGTAATGCAAATATATATATTTTATATGCAGAGCCTTTTTATTCTGCTGAATTATTCTCTTAATTATCGATTTTTAAGAGGAGAATTGGTTTTTGGATCTTGATGTATATTACCAAATATACTTCCCAAAGAAGTGAACAGTCTATATTCCAACAGCAGTGTATATACTGGTGTTTCTAATACCTTCAACTGTGTTGGTGAATTACCATTTTAAAATGTTTTTGCTAATTTTATGGATGCCAAACTGAACTTACGGTTGCTCTGGATTTCTTTTGTTTTCCCTATTCTGTTCTAAGACGTCAGTTCTTTTCTTTTACAGCAATCATGCAAAAGAATGCATTTTAGCTCAATTTGGTGTTGATTTGTTTGATTTGGAGCCATTTGATATTGGTCGCTTAAGTGAAACAGGTAGTTTCCAGTAGTGCCGCCAATACAATTTGCATCAAAGATTCTCTTCGCCTTTTTAACATAAAAACATTTAACTTCTAAATCTTCTCAGGGATGAGCAACAGCAACACTTTTCTTCTTGGATTCTGCACCTACAGGAAATTCACAAGTGGAGGTGATACCTGATTATATCAGGGATAAGCATGTGACCAAGCTTCACCAATCAGAATCCTTTCCCAATCCAGGATTTGCAATAATGGATCTAGGAAAGGGACCTTTTCCTGTCTGGTTGTGACACTGGGAGGATACAAGCCCAGAGCTTGGGTGGCTAGTCCTGTGTCCCATGAAAAGAATGAGAACAGAAGGAAGACAGAGAGAGGGGAGAGGTAGCCCCAGATGGGGGTTGAACTGCTTATTCTAGTCACCAAGGCATATTAATCCTGAGGGTTTTTTTTTTTTTTTTTTTTTTTTTTTTTTAAATTCAGCTTAGCTCTTACCTCTTGTTGTTGTTTTGAGACAAGGTCTCACTCTGTTGCCCAGGCTGGAGTGCAGTGGTGCAATCAAAGCTCACTGCAGCCACCAACTGCCAGGCTCAAGCAATCCTCTCACCTCAGCCTCCCAAGTAGCTGGGACTATGGGCGTGTGCCACCATGCTTGACTAATTTTTGTATTTTTTTGTAGAGATGAGTTTTCACTATGTTGCCTAGGCTGGTCTCAAACTCCTGGGCTCAGTGATCCTCCCCTGCCTTGGCCTCTCAAAGCGCTGGGATTACAGGTATGAGCCACTACACCCAGCCTGTTTTGTCTTGTTTTTAAGCAATGATAATATCCTTCCAATAACCACCCTCTCTTCTTCTTTTCTTTTGTTTAACCAAGCTGGAATTGGGTTTCTGTCTCTTGAAGCCAAAGAATCTAGCCTGGTGTTTCTTAACAGCAGCACTAATGACATTTTGGACCAGGTAATGCTGGGTTGGAAGGAGCTGCTGTGTGCATTTTAGGATGTTTAGCAGCCCCCCTGGCCTCTACTCCACTAGATGCCAGTAGCACCCCACCCGAACTATGACAACTGAAAATGTCTCCAGGGAGCTAAATGTCCTCTAAGGGTGAGGACAAAGTTGCCCCTGGCTGAGAACCACTGGTTTAGTCTAATGCCCTTGATTTTTCTTGTTTAAATGAGCAAGCAGACAGATGGGGAAACCGAAGTTTGGCAAGATGGTGGGATATTTTTCAAGGTAGCAGAGACATGACTCCCAAATCAAGCAGGAAAAAAAAAAAAAAAGGATCCAGGAAGCGATACTAAAAAGAGATGTTGGTACATGCAGATGTTGGCTCTTTTATAGCTGTTGGAACAACAACAAACCCCACAAACTGATTTGGGATTTTACCCATGACACAGGCAGTAACTCTCTACTTAAGAATTCTCACGCATCTCACGAGATAGTGAGACAAAGCAATGTCAATTCGTTTCATTTCTGTTGGTTTAGATCTTTCTGGTGAATGACTTGGAGGTTTGGGTTCAGCAAACTTTGGTGTCTCAGAGGGTTCACCACATGCCCTCTGAAGCAGATATCCAGGAAACCAAACATTGCTACAATTCAAATATAAGATTCCCGACACAATACTGCCTACGTGAGATCAGTAAAATGACATGAAGAAGTAGCTTCATTTTTGTTAGAACTATTTTTAAGGAAGTGCTCTTCAGAGGAGGCATGGTGAGAAAAAGATTCCTGGCACAGGAATCCAGAGGTCGGGATGTGATCTTGGCCCTGCCACTAATGCCGTATAATACTGTGGAAGTGTCTGCCCATCTTGTGACCTCAGTTTCCTTCTCTATATAATAAGGACCTGGACCAGACAAACTCAGAGGGCCTTTCTGGTACTGCCCTTCAATGATTCTTGTAGGCAGACACCACACCTGTCTATCTCGGCTGTCCTGTCCCCAACCCAGGACCTGGTGCAGCATCAGACACAAAATAGGTACCAAGCAAATGCTTGTAAAATGCTCAGATAAATTATTTAGGAGATAAATGACAATAACATCCCAGCTTCCACAGATGCATAAAATTGGAAAGGGTCTTAGAGTTAAAAGGATAGGAAAGTTCATTTCGTTTAACTCCCTAATGAAGCTGGAACCTTCTACCTTATTTCTGATAGGCTGAGCTTATAGTGTCTGTTCAAATACCTCTGTTAGATGGTGAGAGAACTCTATTTGCAGGGGCAGCCATCTCCACTGTTGGATACTTCTAGATATTAAAAAATTCTTCCTTATCTGGAACCTCAGTTAGCCTCCTTGTAGCTGTTACCTGCTTCTAGTTTTATTTTTTAACATGAATTTTTGTTTTAATCAAGAAATACATGCAGTTTGAAAAGTCAAATAATACTAGAAGTCTTATTTATAATGAAAACTAACTCTTCCTTCCTTTTTCACTCCCTAGAGTTGAGACAATCATTTTACACCCTTTCAGCTGTTTCTTCTGATACTTGTATCTGAATTTCTCCCTCCTTCCTTCCTTCCTTTTTTTTTTTGAGTTGGACTACTCTGTCGCCCTGACTGGAGTGCAATGGTGCGATCTCAGCTGACTGCAACCCCCCCTTCCCAGGTTCAAGCAATTCTCTTGCCTCAGCAGGAGTAGCTGGGATTATAGGTGCCTGCCACCATGCCCGGCTAATTTTTAGTAGAGACAGAGTTTCACCCTGTTGGCCACACTGATCTCTTTGGCCAGGCTGGTCTCAAACTCCTGACCTCATGATCCACCCACCTTCCAAAGTGCTGGTATTACAGGCGTGAGCCACTTATATCTGCATTTCTAAATGATATGCTCATACTTTTATTTCTTGATTTATCAATTTTAAACACTATCTATTGATTTCCTACTTTTATAGAAGAGGATTTAACCCTTTTACCTAACCTTCTTCAACTTTCCCTCCCTTCATCCTCACACTATACTATCACAATTTTTGTTTTTTGTCAGTATTCAATGTTAACACTAACATATCTGTGTAAATATTCTTCAGTGCTAAGCCAAGTAAAATACTATGTGTATTAGTCTGTCCTCACACTACTATGAAGAAATACCTGAGACTGGGTAATTTATAAAGAAAAAAAGCTTTAATTGACTCACAGTTCCACATGTCTGGGGAGGCCTCAGAAAACTTACAATCATGGCAGAAGGCACTTCTTCACAGGGCAGCAGGAGAGAAAATGAGTCCCGAGCAAAGGGGGCAAATCCTCTTACAAAACCAACAGATCTTGTGAGAACTCACTCACTATTTTGAGAACAGTGTGGGAGTAACTGCTCCCATGATTCAATTACCTTTCACCTGGTCCCTCCCACAACACGTGGGGATTATGGGAACAACAATTGAAGATAAGATTTGGGTGGGGACACAGCCAAACCATGTCATTCTGGCCCAGTCCCTCCAAAATCCCATGTTCTCACATTTCAAAACACAATCATACCTTTCCAACAGTCCCCCAAAGTCTTAGCTCATTCCAGCATTAACCCAAAAGTCCAAGTCCAAATTCTCATCTGAAACAAGGCAAGTGCCTTCCACCTATGACCTGGCAAAATCAAACTCATTGTTAGTTCCTTCCAAAATACAATGAAGGTACAGGTATTGGGTAAATATATCCATTTCAAGTGGGAGAAATTGGCCAAAACAAAGGGGCTACAGGCCCCCATGAAAGTCTGAAATCCAACAAGGCAGTCATTAAATCTTAAAGCTTCAACATGGTCTCCTTTAACTCCAAATCTCACTTCTAGGTCATGCTGATGCAAGAGGTGGGCTCCCATGGTCTTGGGAAGCTGCACCACTGTGGCTTTGCAGGGTACAGCTCCTCTCCAGGCTGTTTTCATGGACTGGTGTTGAACATCTGTGGCTTTTCCAGGTACACAGTGCAAGCTGTTGGTGGATCTACCATTCTGGGGTCTGGAAGATGGTGGCCCTCTTTTCACAGCTCCACTAGGCAGTGCCCCAGTGGAGACTCTGTGTTGGGGCTCCAATCCCAGATTTCCCTTCTGCACTGCCCTAGCAGAGATTCTCCATGAGGACTCCACCCCTGTGGCACACCTCTGCCTGGACATCCAGGCTCTTCCATACATCCTCTGAGATCTAGATGGAGGCTTCCAAACCTCAATTTCTGTCTTATGCACACGTGGAGGACCAACACCACATGAAAGCTGCCAAGGGCTGGGGCTTGCACCCTGTGAAACAACAGCCTGTGCTGTACCTTGGCCCCTTTTAGCTACTGCTGGAGTGGCTGGGATGCAAGGCACTCTGCACACAGCAGGAGGGCCCTGTGTCTGGCCCAGAGAACCATTTTTCCCTCCTAGCCTCTGGGCCTGTGATGGAAGGGACTATCATGAAGATCTCTGACATGCCCTGGAGAAATTTTCCTCATTGTCTTGGTGATTAACATTCAGTTCCTCCTTACTTATGCAAATTTCTGCAATGGGCTTGAATTTCTCCCCAGAAAATGGGTTTTTATTTTCTATTCCATCGTCGGGCTGCAAATTTCCAAACTTTTATGCTCTGCTTCCTTTATTTATTTATTTATTTTTGAGATGTTGTCTCACTCTGTTGCCCAGGCTGGAGTGCAGTGGCACGATCTCAGCTCACTGCAACCTCTGCCTCCCACATTCAAGCAATTCTCCCTGTCTCAGCCCCCTGAGTAGCTGAGATAACAGGTGTCCGGCACTATATCCAGCTAATTTTTGTATTTTGAGGAGAGATGGGGTTTTGCCATGTTGGCCAGACTGGTCTCAAACTCCTGACCTCAGGTGATCTGTCCATCTCGGCCTCCTAAAGTGCTGGGATTACAGGTATGAGCCACTGCATCCAGCCTCTGCTTCCCTTTTAAACATAAGTTCCAATTTCAAATCATCTCTCTCAAGTTCAAAGTTCCACAGATCTCTAGGGCAGGGGCCAAATGCTGCCAGTCTCTTTGCTAAAGTATAGCAAGAGTGACCTTTGTTCCAGTCCCCAAGAAGTTCCTCATCTTCATCTGAGACCACTTCAGCCTGGAATTCATTGTCCATGCCACCATCAGCATTTTGGTCAAAGCCATTCAACAAGTCTCTAGGAAGTTCCTAACGTTCCCATATCTTCCTGTCTTCTGAGCCCTCCAAACTGTTCCAACCTCTGTGTGTTAGTCAATTCCAAAGTCGCTTCCACATTTTCAGGTATTTTTACAGAAGCCCCCCACTCCTAGCACCAATTTACGGTATTAATCCATTCTCATGCTGCTATGAAGAAATACCCAAGACTAGGTAATTTGTAAAGAAAAGAAGTTTAATTGACTAACAGTTCCACATGACTGGGGAGGCCTCAGGAAATTTACAATCATGGTGGAAGGCACCTACTCACACAAGGTGGCAGGAGAGAGAATGAGTCCTGAGCAAAGTGGGGAAAAGCCCCTTATAAAACCATCAGCTCTTGT